TTAAGTCCAGAGCCCAGACTCTCAACCTCTGCCTCTCTCAAGCTGCCCACGGTCCCTCCTGACCCCACTTCTGTGCTTTGTCCACTCTCCAGCCTATTCCCCCACAAACCACGTCCAACATTCCAAACCACAACGTGCTCTTAGGGGCTCTTGCTCAATACAGCCCTGATACCCAGAGGACTCTCAGAAACAAACAAGAAAGCGTCTATGAGAGGGACTGTGGTCATCCAACATGCCACTATTTTCCTGAAGGTTAAGACCACGATTGCACACCTGCATGGGAGATGTCAAGGTGTCACTAAAAAATAGGTAACTACTGCTCAGTTCAGGGACTCTCTGCAGCCAGTTTTGACATATGAATGTTGTAATGAGAAAGCAATCTGATGGCATAAAGTGGGAAACTTAAATACATTCTAAGTGTACAAGTCATGTCCACCGAGATGGGGCTGGACAGAGTTTAGGATTTTAACTGCTCTGTGCACCGCTCTACATCTCAAGGTGAAGTTGAGGTTGTTTAAACAAATTAACGGTATCATTTTTGCTCCAGGTGGGGTCAACTCTCCCACTATTGGAAGGACTACCATCAGTTATGTGTGCATGATGCCTGTACTTCCGTCCATCTGGGAATTAATAACTGGGATGTGGCTTTGTCTTCCAGAGTCACTGCCCCTTACTCAGCCAGAAAAGATTGATCCATGCCCATATTTGAATGAAACAGATGTATTTTAAATAAAGAGAAATAGAAATCAGATGAGACCCCAAGGGCAGTGACAGTTAATGGGTGGCTGGTCCTCCCCTGGGGAGATGGTGCATTAGGCCCCCTCCCCCTCCCCATCACACTCCTGCTGCCCTCAGGATTCAGAGGTGATATACCCCACTCTCTGGATCCCCAGCGATTGTACTGGGACACTGCAGTAAGTGCCAGGATCCTTATTAGAACACCTTGCTAGGGCACAGCTATAATCGGAGGAGGGCGGAGCCTGGCTGAGAAGGTAATTGCTACTCAAAGTCCTCCACCAGCATTCTGGGTCCTGGGGTAACCTACTAGGAAGAAGAGAAATAACGCTTGCTTGTGACAATTGCAAATATTCATTATTCCCCTGAAGTCAGACACACAAAAGAACAGGGCAGCTTCTTAAGCGCATTTCAAAAGAGAACATTTTGATGCAGGTCTACAAGGATCACGAAAACCTCTTCTCCCCGCCCCACAGAGGGAGGGAGCAGAGAGTCAGTGGCCCACTTCTCCAAGATGGCATCCAGGGCGACAGCACCTCCAGGGGCATTGCGAAGTTTTCCATTCTGTCATTCATTCTGCAAATAGTTCCTGAGACCCTGGCTCCACGAGTTTCCTGATAACACCAAACTCCAGGAAACTGGACCCTTCGTGGTCAGTGGGAGGGACTGTCAATGTGGGCAGCCCCTTTGGGAAGCAGTGTGGGAGCTCCTCAAAACGTCAAATGCAGAGTCACCAGAAGACCCAGCAATTCCGCTCTTAGGCACCTAGCCAAGAGAAACGAAAACTTACATCCGTATAAAAACATTACATGAATATTTATAGCGCCGTTATTCACAATAGCCAAAAAGTAGGAATAACCAAATGCCCATCAGCTAATGAATGGATAAATAAAGTGTAGTCTAATCTAGAAAATGGGGTAGTATTTGGCCATAAAAAGTAATGAATTTCTGACACCTGCTACAACTTGGGTGAACCTGGAAACCATGCTCAGGGCAAGAAGCCAGACACAAAAGAGTACATATTGTATGATTCCATTTATATGAAATACTCAAGAGGCGAATCCAGAGAATATGGTTTTCACTTACACTCCCTGAAAAAGCCCTGGGTTTTATGCTCTTTTCAAAATAAACAAAAAGGGGCAAATCCACAGACAGAACGTAGATTAGTGGCTGCCAGGGGAGAGGGCAATGGGGAAGGATGGCTAATGGGTGGAGGATTTCTTCTGGGGGTGATGAACATGTGCTGGCATTAGACAGCGGTGACGGCTGTACAACCTTGTGAATATAGTAAATCCGTGGATTTGTACACTTTCAGATGATGCATCTGATGGTCTGTAAGTCATATTTTATCTTAGTCTGTTCAGGCTGCTCTCAGGCATACATAGACTGAGTGGCTAATACACAACAGAAACTAATTTCCCACAGTTCTGGAGGCTACAAGTCCTCTTAGATCTTTCCCCATTCCAGCCCCCTCCCAGGAAGAAAGCATTGTTTCAGCTGGAGGATATCTTCCCCAACTTTTTTCTGTGCATTTACATAACAGGTACGTCCTGAAAAAAACATATTTTGGCATAACTGATATTATGTAGTATGCATGGCACCGTAACTTCATTTTTCTAATTACACAGTGTGACTAGATAAAATCGGTACAATTGATGGGCTCTTTAAAGTGCAACAAATACTGTCAGATCCCCTCAAGAAGTCAGGAGAGCCATGCCTGGAACTTCCCACATGTTATATGTCAATTCAGACTCCCTAAAACACTTCAAGGTAGGTATTATGATCAGTACTTGAGAAGTTAGAAAATTACGTTTCAGAGAAGTAACCATCCCATAACCTAGTATGTGCAAAGCTCCCGCAGTGAGGGACTAAGTGAACAATATAATGAATCAGTGGCCGAGCTGGGGATTTGAACCCAACTCCATCCCATCCAAAGGCCAGCCTGGTGCCTCTCCACACAGAACCAGGAACCGGAGAGGTGGTCACTGTGAAGCTGCAGCAGCTGCTGTTAGAAGCTGGTGGGAGGACGGAGGGGGGAGAATTATAATCACCTGCTCTCAGCAGTCCTAACGGGAGAGCTCTCTCTCCGGGAGGACAAAATCTTCCAGAGCAGGGGAAACACATCAAGCATTTCGTAAACACACAATCTCTGGGAAAAGGGCTGTCCTGGATACCCAAGCTAATAGTAATCACCTGATAGCAATTTCCTGCAAGCTGGTTTCTCATCACACATCTGGCAGCTCCTCCACCTTCTTCCACTGCATCATGATTTGTCATTAGCCCAGGCGGTGGGACAGCATACGCTCCGGAACGTGTGAGTTAGCACCCTAATGCTTGCATCACCAAGCCCTGGGGGAGACTCTCAAAGGAGACAAGCCTAGGTTGCTCTAACACTCCATCCAACAGACTCACTTGGACATTTCAAGACCCAAGTCTGCACACCAGCTCTGCCGCCCGGCAGCTGGGTGACTCTGAGTAAAAAAAGCACTTCAATGCTCGCAAGCCTCAGGAGTGGTTGTGTGGATGAAGGAAGAATTTAAATGCTAAGAGGCCAGCACAGTGGCTTGTAAATAATTGAGATTCAGGAATGTAGCCTGCTCCTCCACCCCCCGGACCCAAACTCCTGCAAAGCCCTGCAAAGAAGGGGTGGCTCACTCCCCCTTATTCCGACAAACTACCACTGTAAAGTACCCCCAAATTGGTGCATAAACAGTAATCCTTTTGTTATGTCCATGGATTCTGTGCATCAATGGGGCTGGCTTGTGTCTGCTCCACAATGTCAGGGACCCTCTCAGCCAGGAGGACCAGAATGCCTGGGGGCACTCACAGCCAGCAGCTCAAGAGCTAGGTCTGGAGCATCTCTTGAGACAATTGAACTGTGTCCCCCCAAAAAGGATATGTTGAAGTCCTAACCTCATACCTGAGAACGTGACCTTGGTCTTACTTGAAAATAGGTCCTTTACAAATATAGTCAAGTTAAGACAAGGTCAGACTGGATTAGATGGACTCTAATCCAGTAACTGATGTCCTTGTAAGAAGAAATCTGGACACAGACACACACAGAGGGGAGGGGAACATAAAAAGACAGAGGGACAGATTGGAGTGATGCATCTACAAGTCAAGGACTGCGGGGAGCCTCCAGAAGCCAGGAGAGAGGCCAGAGAGGCAGTATGGACTGAATGTTTGTGTCCGCCAAAATTCATATATTGAAGTCCTAACTCCAGTGTGGCTGTATTTGAAGATGGAGCCTCTGAGGAGGTAATTAAGGTTAAAAGAGGAAAGAAGGGTGAAGCAATGACCCAACATAGTTAGTGGCCTTGTAAAAAAAGACATCAGAGAGCTCGCGGCCTGTCTCACTCTTTGTGCACTGGGAGAGGCCACATGGGGTACAGTAGACAGCTGTGTGCAGCCCAAGGGGAGGGCTCTCACCAGAACACCACGATGCTGGCACCTTGAGCTTGGACTTCTCAATCCTCAAAACTGAGAACATAAATTTTAGTTGTTCAAGCCACACAGCCTATGGTATTGTGTTATGGCAGCTCAAGCTAGTACAGAAGGATCCTTTCCTAGAGCCTTTGGAGGGAGCACAGCCCTGGTGACAACTTGATTTCCGACTACTGGCCTCCAAGGCTGTGAGAGAATCGATTCTGGGTGATTTAAGCCACCCAGTTTGCAGTCATTTGTTACAACAGCCTAGGACATTAATACAGTTTCATGGATCACATTTGCAGGGCCAGCAGGATGACAAAGAACAGATTTGGCTGGTCCTACTAACCAGTCTGCACCTGTCCACCTGCCCACCCCATCCGACCCCAGCACGTGGGGGGTGTTTACTATCTGAATGAACTAGTATAAGCAATAATAATAGCTAATAAGGACAGTCGCCATTTTTTGGATGCTCACAGCACGACAAGGACGACGAAGGAGACACTAAGCGCTTTACAACAGTTAATAAAACTAGCATGCTGGTCAACAGCGCAGGCTCGAGAGCCCTATTAGTCTGGTTCGAATCCAAGCCCCACCAGTTAACAGCTGGGTGACCTTGGCGAGTTATCTAACGGTCCCCGACTCGAAACCCATCCCACGCAGACCGGCCACGCCAGCAAACCGGAGCAGAAGGGAGCTATGCTTCCCTCCGCCCCCAAGCCTCCACCTCCCCGCGGGCCCGAAGCCAGCATCGCACCCGACAGCCGGCGGCACCAGCACGCATGCGCTGCAGGGGAGTTGGGCGTGGCCAAGGGGCTGGGCAGGAGGACGCGTGCGGAGGGGGCGGGGCCGCGCCTGCGCAGGCTGCCTACTATGGCGGCCCCCACTGAACCTCTCTGCGAGAGGGTCGAGTGGGAGGGACAACAGGCTGCGGCCTTCGCCGGGTAAGCCTCTAGGAGAGGTGGAGGGACGGGGTACAGTGCGGGGGTCTCCCGCCACCGAGCCTGGCCTTGAAACCAGAGCTCCCATGGACCTGAGGCCGAGTCCCCACTCCCAGCCTCAGTTTCCCCTTCTAAGCAAACGTGTTGAGGGAAGGAGTCACTGTCGTCATCTCGGTTTCTGTCCGGGTTCCAGGCAGCCCCCTCAGTCTGGATCAGGGAGAAAAAGCGATGCCCGAGCGGTGACTGGCTCTTGAGAGGGCAGTGCTTGACCCATAGGCGGCTTGGCAGACGAGGGCACCGGGGCAGGAGGTCCGTGGAGCCCCCGGCTCCGACCTGCGCGGGTCCGAGTCTGGGCCCCACAGCCCTGGAAGAGTCAGGAACACCTGCTGTGGGGTGAACCTGCAGCCCCCAGGAGGGGACAGGATTGAGCGCTGTTCCCGGAAAACCGGCTGCCGAAAACAAGTGGGGACGAATGGAGAAATTGACTATGGGTTGGGTTTTAAATAGTGAAAAGGAATCGTTGCTTATCTCAGGTCCGCCAATGTGGCTGTATACCAGCATGTTCTCTGACACTGAAGCATTTAGGAAGAAAATGTGACACCTGAAACGTACTCCCAGATCACATGTGGCAAAGTCTTGAAGATTATTGAAGCTAAGCAATGGTATAGCAGCAGTATATGGCTGTTTATTATGCCACGCCCTCAACTTTGTCTGTTTGAAATGTTTCATAATAAAACAGTTGGAAAAAAAAAAAGGAAGAAAAATTTCATCAGTGTAAGGGAACATTCAGATCCATTGCCGTAAATAAAAGATTACTATGCAAATGAATGCAATGTAAACCACATAGTTCTAATTCTAGCTGGGTTCTTTTCCCTTACCAAGGTTCTGAGGTTTTTCTCCTTTAACAAAAACTAAAAGAATTGAGAACAGAAGCCGTTTCCCCCAGGTGATGCAAAGCTGCTTACCACCCGGTGGGGTATGTTTACACTGTTCCCTTTGGGGGCCCTAAACTGAGGACCTGCTCTCCCCTCTCAGGTACTGCTGTCCCGTGATGAATGTGGAGCCATGGGCACTTGCTCCCACCCCAGCCATGGACGAGGTCACCTTCAAAAGCGACACTGTGCTGTCAGACGTCCACCTCTACACCCCAAACCAGAGACACCTCATGGTGCGGCTGAACGGCATGGGGCAGCCCGGTAAGGCCCTGGGTGCATGCGGAGTGGACCTGCACCCCACAAATCCCATTTTGTTTTCTACTTTCTTGCACTCATCTTTTTTGACAGATGGGAAGACTAGCTTGTTTAACTGTTACTCTCACACCACAACTAAGTGCCCTTGTTTCTTTGAGTAAACTCCTGTGCTTTCTGAGCACCTGCTGTGTACCAGGTCCAGGATTTGATGTTGGGACTGCAGAAGTGGACGAGCAGATCTCTACCCTCAGGAAGCCCGCAGTCCAGCAGGCTCCCTTTTACGGGGCCCCTGTGTCACTTGCCTCCAGCTCCTCCCATGGGGGGGTTCCCTGCTTTTTTTCCTGTACCACCCCACCAACCCCAGTCATCTCCCCAAGCAGCCAAGGGGATATTTTAAAAATGCTGATCACGTCTTTGTGCTCATTTAGATCTCCAGTGGCTTCTCCTGCTCTTAGAATAAATTCAGACCCCTCTCCCTACCTATGAGGCCCAGTCCAGCCCAGCCCCTGCCAGTGGGTCCCCACTTCTCTACCTCTCCCTAGCTGCTCTGCAACCCCTTCCTGTCCCTCACAGGTTGCACAACTTTCACACATCTTCCTCCTTGAGTACCTTCACTTTTGCTGTTCTTTCTGCCCAGATGTTCTTCCCTCCCATCCCTGGCTCCGCAGATGGCATCTCAGGTGCCTGGCCTGGCACCCTCCCCAGCTCTGATCACCATGTTCTACCTTGTTCTGATGTGATGAATAATCCCCCTTTCCCAAGTGTCCCAGTTTGGATTCCCGGAGGCTCAGAACAGATGAGTGACTTGCCTGGGGTCAGACAGTTA